AAACAAAATGCGCTGTCACGACGACAAACAAATTACTCTGAAGTTAGTCGTATCATTGCAAGTTTGCCAATGCATGCGAACTTCGTTTCCTTGATTCGTACCTATGTTCATAGCAATGTGTGTTTAGTTCTTATCCTAGCTAAAATGCATTTCTAGGTTGCTGTATTTGTTTAGTGTTGTTTTAACCAAACCAGTTACTTTGCTAACTGAAAATTGTGTTTTTAAATGTGAAATTTTGTTTGCTTTATTATTAAAATTTCATAATTGTTTACTTTACATCAGTTCAAATGGTTCAATAATTCATACAAAGTTTTGATTAAGTGAAATGATTCCTCATTTCCATAGCTCATTTCATACATTGTTTGTTTATTTCTGAAGCTCTGACTTATAAAGTACTTAATAAAATTATAAACTCCATTAATAATTTAAATTACCAATTCTGTTTCCACAGGCTCTTAGATAAATAAGCATCAGACTCTTCTTCCTTTTTTGCTACAGGAGCTTCGACCACAGTCTCTTGCACCATTTCGATTATGTTTATCTATATCTTTACTAAAAATTTTCATTCATGAGCGAGGTGGCATATTTCAGCAGCCTAAACTAAACGTTGAGCCTGCAGCTTTGATGTTTTCTCTCACCTCTTGTTAAATGTATTTCGCCCTTGCAACACACATTTTACTTCCCAATACACATCAGTAACTTTTATCATTTTTCTAAAGATATATTTATGAATATACTGTTTGCAATGAAGGTAATTTTAGAGCCTTTCTGTTTTTTTCAGTTCGACACTATCCACGAAATTATTAATTATGATAATTTGACACCATATCTATACTTATTACTATAATATTGGAAGATGATAAAGTGCTAAATTTATTCTAGTATGAACAGCAGTACTTTGCATCTTAAATTTCAGGTAAAATTAGAAAAATATGTATAGTAATTTAAGGAATTTTCATAATTGAGAAACATTAAAATACTTAATTATGAATTACCGTATCTGAAATATTGACGATTAATAATTAAAGTTTTGTAAAATATATTTAAATTAGCAGATACATATATTTATATGTATCTTATAAATTGCAAAAAGTATGTGGAAAAATATTAATTATGTATACAAAAATCGTTTTGGCATTTGTTATAGTAATAGAATAGTAATTTCTATCATCACACGAAAATATAAGAAAATCTTTAATGAGAAACATTAAAACAATTTAATTGAAAAACATTAAAATACTTACTTATGAATTACCATATCTGAAATATTGACGATTAATAATTAAAGTTTTGTAGAATATATTTAAATTAGCAGATACATATATTTATATGTATTTTATCAATTGAAAAAAGTCTGTAAAAAAAATATTAATTATTTATACGAAAAACTTCTTGGTGTTTCTTATAGAATAGTAATTACTAAACTCCGTACAAAAATATAAGAAAATATGTTACATATTTCTTCAGTTCCTACAAAATTGCTGTATGCTACAAAATATTATCTTTTTAATAAGATATAATACTAATGTATAATAATAGAAAATCAGTAATAACTGTTTAGCAGCATTATCGTACCACAATTCGGTTAGACTTTTTTTACTTTAATATTATTTAAAAGATGATACACAAAATAATAAATGGTATGTAAACTACAAACACTTTAATAAATTGAATATTGGAATAACAAACAGTTGATTATAATAAACAACAATATGAATTCATAATAAAATTTATTATTAGTTTATTATAAAAAAAATACTTAAAAAATATATTATATGCTTAGATTGTTTCATGTAGTCATATATTTATTACATGAACTTTTTAACTAAATCTATAATGGGTTGAATCAATTCCTCCGTTGTAGTTTCATTGTTATTAACAAGAACAAAATCCCAGTTTTCATAATTATCTAAATCACATTCAGATGCAACATCATCAACACCTTCTGTAAATTTCCAACCTCGAGATTCTCGAATGCATTTACTGCAATTAATTCTAATTGTTATAACTTTAGCACCATATTTTTCAATAAACCATTTTATATCTGTGTTCCTGCGGATATCACTAACTATGCAAATAGGTTTTGAAATTGCTTGGCAAGCCACTTTACAAAAATAACCATAATCTTCATTTCGAACTCGGTCGCTCCATTCTATCATATCTTTTCTGAAGCTTTCTTTATATTCTCCATCGCTTAAGAGTTGTTCCAGATCTAGAGATTTTTGAGCAGCCCAATGGGCTTTTATAGGTTGTGAAATACGGATTATTTCAGATTTATCTTTACCCAGATAATTGTGAATAATTCCTGTAATATAATCTTTGCCTGATTTTCTTTTGCCACTGAAAAGGAGTACAAGTTTTGGTTTATCAGACATTTTGTTTGTGTCTTTGAAACACTGTTAGAATAGTTATTTTGTTTGACTATTTGTATAAAAACAAACAATAAATGAAGTTATAAATGTAACATTTTTGTCTACGCCTTCATTCTGACGCGTTATATGCTTAAAGAATTCCCGTTATTTGTTTCATTTTATATGAAATAAATTAATAAAAAGATACTCATGTTTAGTACTAAATTTTTATTCAGAAATTCTAGCATATATCTATTAGGCTATTTTTAAACAAATTTATGCAAAATAAATCATTATTATTTCAGGGTCGCTAAAAAGCATCACATAACCTATAATAATTCCAATACAATGCACTGCATGATTTAAAATTTAAAAATAAATATAACATGATAACAATTTAGAATAAAATTGAATGTATTAGCCTCATTAGCTACAATTTAGAATAAAATTGAATGTATTAGCCTCATTAGCTACAATTCACTTTCATTTTATATAAGGTTTTTTCTCTTTTTTGTATTATATCTGTAGAATTTGTATATATAATTTGACAGATGAAAAAACATTTTAACTTCACGAAGGAGAAGTTTGTTTTCATAAAAAAATCAGATTCGCTAATTTTATGTTTTCTCGACGTTTCAAGCCATTCTGAATCGAATGAGACCAAATTTGGAAAAAAGTATGTGTGTGTTATGTATGTGTGTGCGTGTATGTGAACAGATTTTTTGCCGTAAATCGACGTTTTCTCAACGTTACGACGTTAGTTTTTGGTAAAGATCGGCCGGGCCGTTTTCTTGTAATAAAGTTTTAAAAAAATTTTTTAGACGATTTTTATGATTTTTTGACGGTAGATACCATAGTCTTATAGATCATACTAAAATATTACGGTCCTACGACAAGTCATTTAATTTTGAAAATTCGTCAAAGTTTGTAAAAATTAGTATCGTTTTTTGGCGTTTGCCAAAATTATAAATTTTATCTACGTTTGCTCAAACACGCCTGAATTGATTTCAAAAATTTAAAAGCCAGTCGATGTAATTTGATGTGGATGATCTTTTCTCAGTTTTGTGCAGCTGAGCCGTTTCTTTGTAATTTAGAAAAAAATGTTAACTAAATTCATCCACATTTAAGCTCATACTACCGAATCGATTTTAAAAAATCAAAAACTGTTCGAAAAATATTAGTTGGGAATGATACTGATTAGTTTTATGTGTTTTCTTGTAATTAACTGTTGAAAAAAAAATAAGCCGATTTTTAAGGAACTTTTTTTTGCGATATACATCATAGTCTTAAAGTACTTACTGAAAAATTGCGGCCTTACGACAAGTAGTTTAATTTTAAAAATTCATCAAAGTTTGGGAAAATGAGTATACTCGATTTACTTGGTATAACGATCGTTATACCAAGAGTACATGGTCTTAATGAGCATACTAAACCATTAAAATCCTACAGAAACTGGTTCAATAAAAAAAATTGATTTTTGAAAATTTGATTTTAGAAAATACTCCGAGTTAACGTGTTCGTTTGTTTTTAATTATATGTGTAATAAATCCACTCGGAATAAAGGTATTCCTAAATTAATATTATATATTCATAAATTAATTTATTTTTTATTAATTAAGTCGATTATTTACACATATCGGGAAGTTCATGTAACTTGCCTCAAGGCAAAATACCAATAATAACTATAGTTTTACTTTTGTTTTATTATTGAAATAAATTAATTTTTTATAATTTATTAAATATGATATAAAAAGAGATAAAACATATTAATATTTATTTTTCATTTAATGTAATTGTTATTCATCATATTAAAAACTGATAAAAAAGCTCATAGTGATTGTTTTTTAGGATGTTGCTTGATTGAATTGAATTTGCTTTTCGAAGGACCGATTGTAAATACTTTAATTTTGTAACTAGTAATATTTATTTTACGTTAATTACATAAATTACATCGTATTTATAATAATTTTAATATGTTTTTATTACGTGTTGAATGATTTGATTTTAGTTTTATAATAAATCGATTGATGATTTTTTGTTTTCTATCTCAATATACCCGCATGCTTTGATTGGCGCGAACAGTGATTTTTGTTTAGTACAGCTTTTCTAAATGCGCGGTTTTTCTGGAACGAATCTTCCGTGTAAAACGGGGAATATTTGTATAATAATTTTATATATAATTCAGTTTATAGATAAATAAAAACAATGGCTTTGCATCATGTTTTTTTAATTTTAATAATTTTTACAATTGTTGCATAATGGTAATTGGTTTTGTTCGTTCGGATATAACTCCCCATGATTCAGTTTGTTTATAGATTTTTTCGCGCTGTTTAGTTACCACCCTTCAAAAATTGCGCACTTCACACCATATTCTTTAACTATTGGCACAACTGGTTCGAACAGTATTCGGCGCATAATTCGTGCGATTTGGACGCGCCAGTTGGACGCGCCATTTATAGATAAACAAGTATATTGGCGCCATTTTTGTATAAAAATACAAGTCTATCAGTTAAAGAATCACATTGTGAAACTATACTCTGTATTAACTACCGTGAATTTTGTTGCGAAAATGAATTTGTCAGGAGAAGATACTATACTTTTGATTAAAAAATACGAAGAACAAAATATTCTCTGGAATCCAAAGCACCCAGAATATTATAATAGAAAACTAAAAAAAGCTGCGTGGGAGAAAATCGCTGAGACGTTTCAAAAAAACGTTGGTGACGTGAAACAAAAAATGGCTAGTCTTCTGGCATCCTTTCGAAGAGAAAAGAAGAGAGTAATGGATTCTCGTAGAGGAGGAACAGGTAATAGTTTTTATACAAATAAAATATACTTTATTTGCATTTCGAATCAAATTGATCCATAGCCGTCATTATATTTACATGACATACTACTCATGAATTACACAAATTAATGTCATTATTATAAATGTACATTTAAATTCACATATGCATAATTTTAGGATCGAGTGACATATACGTATCACATTGGTACGGATACAAATATTTCCATTTTCTACTTGAAAAGGATTATCCGAGATCCATAAATACTATTATTGAAATTAAGGTAATATCAAATTAGATTTTAGTTTCATCTTTCTTTTGTTCAATTGCTTGATCTCCTTATTTATTACAGAAAAGAGCATTGCATGCTCTTGCTTTATTAAGAAAGGCACGAAATAAAAAATCAAATGAAATCAACATAGACAAAATGTTGAAAATCATACTGATAAACTTTTTGAAAGATTATAACCAAAACACTAGCAGGCGCAATCCCTTTCTGCAACATTTAGGGCAACTGCTCGACTGGTTCAGTGAAGAACAAAGATGTTTCTTGGAATACCAAATATTAAATTTAACATACGAAGCAACAGAAAAAGTAATGTGGTTGAAAACAAGAAGATTAATGCAATGAAACAAAAGCAAGTAACTGAATAATACAATGAAAAAGAAAGTTAATAAGGGTACCCTTCAGCTGTTCGAGAACTAACTAACGTTAGTTCAGGAAATTGTGATTTTTTTTATTTTGTGGTCAGCTTTTCACAATTCATATTTATATTTAAATAGTAATTATTTTTGATTTTCATTTTTATTGACTTTTCAATATTACTTCTATTATTCCCAAATTTTATTTATTTATTACTTTTAAATTTTACTTGTTTTTTTATAATTGAAATTGATATGGAGAAAAACATTTATTTATATTATATTAGTTTTTATTTTATTATCATATAATTTCATAAATAAATAATCTTTATAGAGAAATTGATTTTATTTATTTAGTTTCATTACAAATAAGATAATTCTTAAATCTGTATACATATCTTGTTGAAAAAACATTAAAATTCATGTACAGTCTTTTTTATATCGAGTTTCATAAGATGGCTTTTAATGGCCAAGTCTAATATTGTTTCAATCTAAAGTTCTAAGAAAGATCATTGATGATGTTTCTATATATACAGGCTTTGTAGAAGCTTGAATATCAACAGAATATTGTAGTCGCTCAATATTGACTTTAAAAGCTTCGAAGACATATCAGTGGCTAGAATGTTTGAAACACCAGATTTTAGAAGCCTTAAGAAAAAGATTCTACTTCTCATTATTTAAGCAATTTATCTTTACAATATCATATCACAAAGTCGCTTGATATGGACTTTAAAAGCCTGAAGATCATCCAGATATTATAGTCGCTGGACTTTTAGAAACACCAGATTTTAGAATGCTTAAGAAACAGATTCCACTTGTAATATTCAAACCATTTATGTATTATTGAATATTTATTATTGGAGCGACTACTATTTGGTTTATAAAATTTAGCTTAATTATTAATAATTATGTGTGTGTTTATAAGTGATCTTTTTTTCTATGAGTAGACTCATAATGGTCTTATTTGTTCGAACTGCTGTTAAAACTGTTTGGTATCATGCCTTAAGGCAAATTGCTGGAACTTCCCCTAACGAATTATTTGAGGAAAATTAAATGTTTTCAAATAGATTTTAATACTGTAACTTTCATTATTTTTATTTTATAGGCAAAATATAAGAGCTTATGAATTGCACGATGACTTTTATATCTGTATATTACAGAAAAGTAAATAAACAAAATTATTTTGATTAAGGGGGGTCTTCCTATGTGATGAGTTGAAAAAATTGAATTTTTTTTTTATTTCATATTTCAGTAGATTATACCTTTAAAAATAACATATTAAAATTTCAAATCGATATCTCAAATAGTTTTTGAGTTACAGTCATTTAAAAAGTATACATATAGTATATAGTACAACGATCATTTTATCTTTAAACGCGTTTTTCTCAAAACTGTGTTTTTCAAACTTGTCTCCATTGTATCTCAGAAACGGCTAGACCGAATTACTTGAAATTTACAGGGCACATTCAATATATTTAAACGCATGGAATGACCTATTATCAATCAAAAATTTCAAAACTTCGATTTTTTATAGCAAAAAAACTAAAAAAAAAAAACGCCTAATTTGCAACTTTTATTTCAAATGTCTATAAAACATCCAATTTTTTTTGTATTCATTTGATTCTAGATCATTCCGTGCTTTTAAGCCTACAAATTAAAACGCCGTTTATTTTTTTTTGGTCAGATAAGCCGATCAGCCGGAATCGTGGAGACAGTGGGAGCTCTTTTTTTTGAGGGGGGGTGTTTAGAGCGCTGTAACTCTAGTTGGACTAAATTTTTTTAGCTGAAATTTTATATTTATACTGTCCAAATATGTATTAATAAATGATAAAAAACTTGAAGCTCTAACTATTTACTGGTCGTAGAAAAAAAATTCTAAAATATCCCTAAAAAACAGGCCGTCACATAGGAAGACCCCCTTAAGTTAACTTAATCAATAACTTAAAATGAAGCACATTGTCTAATATTAATAAGAATTGAATAAACTAAATTGCAAAGTTAAAATTATTTATTTAAAGTATAAATATATATTTATAGTTCAAAGTGAGTGAGCGAATAAATTAGTTTAAAGTAAAGCGATCTTTAGAACTGTAGCCAGAAATAAAATAACATCCAATTATTTTCGATTTACAAAAAAAATTTTTTTGAAAAAAAATTAAAAAAAAATCTAATAGCAATTATTTCATCAACACAAGCAGTGTTTTTGAATCGTTCAAATCGGATTCTTAGTTCTCTCGAAAACTGCCATTTTTTGCATATTTAGCTTCGTATTCCGGAATGGCTGGATCTGCTTTTGCCAAAAACTAATCATCGCACTTCTCCCATCGTCGTAACGAATGTTTTTTGAATCATTCAAACCGGTTAATCCGTGCGCCCAAAAACATTGACAAAAAATTGTATTCAAACAAAAACACACACACACATCAATTTTTCTAAGCTATGCCGAAATGTTCAGAAACCTTTGAAACGCGAAGATAGGCAAAAAAAATCATTTTCGAATGTTTGGATGATTACTATAACTTAGAAGTGAAGTTAACAAATGGTTTTTAAATTTTGAATTAACTTCTCATTGACTTACGTTACTTAGAAAGAAGGAGAGCGAATGGCACTAATTAAGAGGATAGTATCATTAGGAGAGAGAATCATAGCATTCTATAACCTCCTCCTATGAAGTAATGCCTAACGGTGGTTTCTTTGGGGACAAGGGGCAGGAAAAAAGCGGAAGTTTTTGTCGGTATTGTAACCAGGCGTTATAGAGCTCGACATACCTGGGCCAATAAACATCTAAGCCTAGGAAACGTAAAAGTATTTCATTCATTATATAAAAAAACACAACATTTTTTTAATATTGTTGCCAAATTAGTATTTGGATTTTCTTCGGAAAATTTCCTTTGAAGATGTCTTAATCGATTTTTAAGATGCAGTTAATAGCTACGCAATATTTGGGGTACAGTGAAAAACTTATACTCCTTCATATAATAATTATTAATCGCTAAAATTTAAAGAAATATAAAAGTTCAATATTTTTCTTAAAAAAAGTAATTTACCTAAATTCATTTACATTTTACATTTGATTGCAGAAAAATTGAAGGTAAAAAATGATTATGCTTTTAAATATAAATGCCTAGTTGTGTTCACTAATAGAATGAACATTCAATAAAATAATGTAAATATGTATTACCACAATAAAGATAACATCAAAATATAATTATCACTGCAATCTAATTGTGTCTGATATTTCATTTAACAGTTAAAAATACAAATTAACAATAACTTTGTTTATATACATTTTTATTGATAGAACTTTCTAAATATATAAAAATTTTACCAACATAATTATATATTTTACAAATTTTTACATCATAATCACTTATACCAGCAGAACTAAATAAACAAAATTTATAATATCATAATTCATATCTACACAGATAAAAGAGTATTAACATCCGTTAAATTTAAATAGATCTTTCATTATGAGCACAATGCTACGCTATTTGTAAAAAATGTTATAATAATTATGAAATAAATAATGGTTTTATTATAAAATATCAAAGTGTTTGGCATTATTTTGATAGGCAAATTCCGGAAATTTGCTGATGTTAAAATAAATGAGGAAATGAAAACAAAAACGACTGAAACTAAATTTTTTAACGAGTATGGTAAAGAATTTTCAATTAAAAATAAAGATGAATAATTAAAAAACAACTCTTTTCTAATAGAGAAATATATTTAAAAAAAAGCTATATCAATATAGTTATAAAACCATTGGGTTGTTCAAAAATAACTGTTGATAAAATCAAGTCATATGAGGTATGAGTATGATTTGGAAACTTTATCTGTAAAGAAATGAATTTGTAACAAGTCTCTTCACTATTAAATTTTATCATTTGTTAAATAATAATAATAATAGGATCAACAAGATAGGATTATTATATTTTCAAATTCATTAAACATCAGAATAAATGCTTAAAAACTTATTTAACAAATTATCATAACATTTTAATTTTATAGGCAGCTGTACAGTGCTTATATCGAAAAGTGCATATAGTGTAATTATAATTGTATACTTTTTGTAACGCAGTTTGTAATATTGTAATATAATGAAACTAGTGGTCAGTGGCGTCGGAACCGCGTGGGCTGCGTGGGCTTGAGCCCACCCATGAATTTTGATGGTGGGGCTCAGCCCACCCATCAATTTCAAAAAATTATATGGAGTAATATCTCTAAAAAAAAACGAGCCCACTGGGCTGCCTATCAAAAAAAAAAAAAAAACGAGCCCACCCATCAAAAATTTGGTTCCTACGCCACTGCTAGTGGTGCATGGCATCGAGCATTAAGGCAAATTGCTGGAACTTTTCGTACCAAAAATTAAAATTTTTAAAAAAGATTCAATTTTCTTTTAGAACCCTTGAAAAATTTGATTTATAAGATTTTAATTTTTTTTAAATTGACCTTTTAGAATAATTTGATTTTTTTTATACTTTGAAATATTTTGGAAATATTGAACTTTTTTTCAAAGCAATCGCGGTGTGTTAGCTGCGATATGAAATATGGAAGCGCGTGAAAGATTCATAAATGTTTTTTTATTTTTGAATCTTTCAAATTTGTTGATCCGTGTTCTCGAAATCGTCGACGAGAACTTCATTTTTTGCGATTACTATAACTTACCCTACGGAAGTTATAATATACTTATAGTTAATAATATACATAGTTTTTATACATATTTTATTGTACAATTCAAATACAAAAATAACAAAAATTTTAAAGAAGTAAGTTTACAAATCTTTTATACTCTATTGTTATGAAAATCACATCATAATTTAATCACAATTAATTTCTTAAAATGCATCATTGCATTTAATCTCTCTGTAGTATCCGATTCCGTAATTTCATATTGACATGATACTGAAATAAAGAATGCAACAATTTTATATTTTAAAACTGAATTATGTCGCTATGGAAAAATGTTTGATAATATTTAATGCAAATATTTTCTGATGCATTCCTTTAGAATGTTCATTGATCA